TTTTTTTTTTTTTCCTCAAGCCGTGGGTTTTATGGTAGTGCTGTCGGTTGGAGAGCCTGCTGCTCATATCGGGCAGGGTGCTCGGGCTCCGGTCAGCGATGCAGCAACTGGCCCGGAGGTGCGGGAGTGTCTGTGTCCTCCGCCCGCGTCGGGGATGCCGACGGAGGAGGGGTACATCCAGCCGAACTGGTGAACAAACCCTGGTTTGAAGTGGGAAACCCACAGCGGCACTTAGGTGGCTGGAAATCCAAACAGGGTGTCACTGTGAGGTTTCCCAGCATCGTTAATTATTTTATTTTAGAGCCCTCGAGAGACCCTGGGCAGCCCCAAAACAAAGCACAGTGTCCTGTGACCCCTGACTTGGTTCTAATAATGAGTAAATATTGGTCAGTAAGAATAAAAACTTCCTTATCACAGTCGTATTTTTAGGTGGATTGTATTCACTTACAGCTGGTGGTTACAGATGGGTACCAGGAAAATTGCCCTAAATATTTGGGTTTTTTTGGTAGCGTCAGTTTGTTTTTACTTTCTGTGGTTCGCATTTTTTGCCTGGCTCTGAAGCCTCATTAAATGTTTCCATTTTCCAAAACAAAACAATGGTGGCACAGCTCTTCTGGCCAGAGCAGTGTTTTTCTGCCATTTCCCTTTTTGGTGTAGTTTAAAACTAAAGAATAACCATCAGAAACAGCATCATCAGCAAAGCCCACAGTATTTTGCCCTTGTTTTGGTTGAGTGAATGCCCTTCTTCCTCATCCCTGTTATTATCCAAACAGTAGTCCTTAATGTTTACACACAAACACAGACATCCTTTGTGATAGTAGTTATATCTTTGTTTCTACAGGTTTTTATTCATAACCCTCATGCCCGAGGACAGAGAACGAGCACAAACCGAATGGTGCAGAGCAACCAAGATTCAGACATTTCTCTCCTCAACATTAATCAAGGGATCACTTGTCTGGCTTCAGGAGTGCTGAACCCACACCTTGGTTATGATTGTCTCCTGGTTGGAACACAGACTAATTTATTGGCTTATGATGTCTATAACAACTCGGATTTGTTTTACAGAGAGGCGAGTTAACTGGGCTGGTGGTTTTTTTTTTTTTTTTGTTTTGTTTTTTTTTTTTATTGGTACTTTTATTGTTTTCTTCCCATTCTAACGATCACAGTTTTTGTTACTGTGGCAGATAATTATGCCTCTGTTCTTTGCATTTGTTATATTCCTGCATGCAGGACATTTTGCCTTCAGAATATTTGGAACATTTCCAAAGGAAAAAATACGAATGTGATGTATGTCTGTGTTTGCACGTGTGACAGCAAATTTTCATACTCTGCCACTCATCACCTAGCAAGAGAAAACTTAAATTTAGCTAAACTGATAGTGATAACATTTGGAGCTCATTTTGGCTCTTTCGTGTCTCATCGCCTGCTATTTCTTTTGCCTTCCCTGTTTCTCTGTAGGTTTCAGATGGAGCCAATGCAATAGTTCTTGGAAAGCTGGGCAATATTTCCTCTCCGCTTGCTATTATTGGTGGAAACTGTGCCCTGCAGGGCTTTGATTATGAAGGAAGTGAGCGTTTTTGGACAGTAAGGCTATGCATAATGCTCTTGATGTTATTACAACTTTCTTTCAATGGTGCTAATTCCTCTAGATTTGTTTTGATATGCTAAATATTAATTTGATTGTATATCTTTCTTACTTTATCTCAGCCCTTAAACTATATTTTGGATATTCTCAATGTGGCTTCAATATCAAGTATCTCAATTGCTGTTTTGCAGTTGAGATGATAAAATAGTCTAGCTTCTGACTGCTCTTGTCAGTAATGAGGACTGTCTTCCTCATTTTAGGTGACTGGAGACAACGTTCGGTCGTTAGCACTGTGTGACTTTGATGGCGATGGCAAAAATGAGGTTTGTAACCACCTGATTCCATGTGATTTCAGCTGTTTTCATGGTCTTGTAGTGAAATGGTAATTAAAACCATGAGTTATCAATTCAACTGATTTGTATCACCAATGAAAGTGATCCCTTTGTGGAAGCTGTGCCTTCTTCAGACTCTGGTCCAGTAAAGATGTGGATAAATGCTGAGCTCATGGATGGGTTGCAGTGCTGGTCCTTGGTACTGCTCAGAGTCTGTGCAACCAGGTGTATCTGGAGTTTTTACAACCTGGTGAATTGATACCTAGCTGTTATCTCATTTTTCTTCACTACACCAGGAGGAATACCATGAAATGCCTGCAATCATCAGTGGCAAGGCATCGAGTTCAGTGGTATTTCTTGAGTATGGTTATAAATCCTTTTTTACATTTCAGAGAAATAACTTGCAATTTTAGTCATAATTAAGCTTTTCCATTTACTTCCTTGTTTGGAATGTTTACTCAGGGTATGCAATGTTTATAGTGATGCTTAAAGGGTCTCTACGCCTTTTATGTATCTTTTAGAAATAATGAACTGATACAGACTCTTTGCCTGATCGGTATCTTCAGGAAGTGAGGAAAAAAAAATGAGGTTTTCAAATGAATTTCTGCACAATTTTTCCTAGAGTGTATTTTTTTTTTTAATGTGCTGAGAGGTAGCTATAGAAAGTGGAACCAGAAACCAGGAAACTGATCTGCGGCACTCATAAATGTTTTGTACTTCTAAGTGTGGGGTTTTTTTTGTTTTTCTACTATTTTTTTTCTGCTTGAGAAAGGTCCTTGCTCAGCAGTTGGTGTAGTCTGATGCTATTTTGAGCTAAGCAGAGTTGGATGCATTATCCAAATAGCTTACCCTGCCAGTTAGCCCAGCGTGTATTTGCTGAGAGTATTTAAGAGTTCTTTTTAATCTTAATTATCTAGGTGATTATTTTTGTTTTTTTCATTTCTGATTTGACTCTGTCGCTTTTGTGAAACTGCCTCTGGTGTAAAATTGAAGTTCTGAGAAAATGCACAGAAACATCTATTTAAACTGTTATCACTTTGTGTCTTATCTGGTAAATGGATGTGCTGGCTTCATATCTGTTCTTCCCCACCCTGGTAGAAACACATCTACATTTAAAACTGACTGATTTGAAAGTTTTATGAATATCCTTTTGTCTTTTCATAGCTGAAAAAACTAATTTCTTGTGGTTGCTGTCCTGATTTTAGATTGATACAGGTTATTTCCTCCCATCTGGGGAAAAAACCTTTTTTCAAATTCCAGTCCAGTGGAATGAAAGTCACTGAGGTGGATGAGTTATATAAAATTAAATTAAAAAAAAAACAAAACAGCATCTTTTAGGCACCTCTGGGAAATGCAGCATCACCAGTAATTGTTTTGGGATTCTGTGCTTTTAGCTGGTCACTTTTTGCTGCTAATTACAACTTCTCAAGACATCTGTAGCTCTTGCTGATATTATTTGTTGTAAATATGATTTCAGTAGCTGTAGTAAGCTTAGCTGGGTGCAATTTAGTTTTGAAGTATTTTTGCTTTGGAAGAAGAAAAAGCCTTTATTCTTTTTAACAGTGTTTTGATTTGGATTTGTGTCTGTTCTGCTGAGTAAAGATGGGAGACTCCTCAGTTCCAGTGGGGAAAGGTACTACCAGATTTTAAACTCTCATTTGTAATTCTGTTACTGATTTGATGGATGACTTTGTGGGCAAGACACTAAGCAGATCTGCTCCTTGGTTTCTTAATTTGCGAAATAGAAGCTGGGACTAGTCACTGTGTTCGGGAAGTGCTTTTCCATGAGGCTTCTTTTAGGTTAATACCTTCTGCCTGCTCAGCGAGGAAACAGGGAAAATAAGAAGCGATGAGGAATGAGATTGCAGAACACCCAATTCAGTGCAAATATCCTATTTGTATAATTGTGAAGCTAAAGCCCATTTCACTCGTGCTTTTCAGCAGTAGTAGCCACCGTTCAGGTTGGAGGAGCAGTGATATGTTCATTTGATACTTAGATTCATTTGGTTTAAGTTTTTTTTAGATGAGGGATGGCTTCAAGTTGGACCAGGGGAGGTTTAGGTTGGATACTAGGAAAAAACTATTCCCTGAAAGGGTTGTCCAGGGCTGTGCCAGGCTGCCCTGGGCAGTGGTGGAGTCCCCATTCCTGGAGGGGTTTCCAAGCCGTGGAGATGTGGTGCTGAGGGACATGGGTCAGTGGGGACCTGGCAGTGCTGGGGGAACAGTTGGACTTGATGATCTTAAAGGTCTCTGCCAACCAAAACAATTCTATGATTCACTGCTCAGCAATGATTTTTAAATGTTTTTTTGTTTTTTTCTACTTTGCTTACAGGCTGGTGACTGGGAGTCACAGTTTCTCTGAACCCCTGTAGTACAAGTCAGAACTGAGCTGCAGGGCTCCTGCTGCAACACAGGCAACGTAGTATTTGTGATGTGTATAATTGCAGTTAGGAATTACAACACTGAACCTCTTGCAGTAAGGAAAGAGTACAGCCCTGATGTTCCAAAGGATCTTTTTGCATTCCTACCTCAGATGTTTTCCTCTGCTTTTCTTAGTCTTTATTGACAAAAAAAAAAAAAAAGGTGTAGCTAATACCTGATCAGCAAGAGACTTCTGAATCTTTCCTGACAGAGGGTACCTGTTGTTCCACTGGCAACTTTTCATACAACTGCTAGAACCTCTTCATTGCTGGACTTGGAATATTTATTTGCCCTTTACTATCCTTTTTATTTCCTTAGTTTGACTATTTTTTTTAAGGTAGACTTCTGTTTTTTCCCCTAGCTTCTTGTTGGCTCTGAAGATTTTGACATCCGGGTGTTTAAAGAAGATGAAATCATGGCAGAAATGTCAGAGACAGAGGTAAATTACTTCTACCTAAAGTTTGTAATAATTGCTGATAGAGCTGAAAACCTTGTGTACTGTAAAGCTTCTGTGGTTACTCTGGGTCAGATGTGTAGTTAGATAAATATTTGGGAGGGAATCTATTTTAAACTGCAGAAATTAGAATTCAGTAATGTTTTCTGTTATACACAGCATTTTGTGCTTTGTTTACAAACCTTTCACTGAGTTGAGAAAAGCAACTGATGCTTGACTGGAAGTCAGGGCCCTGTCCAAAGGTGATGGAGGTTACTGGGTTGTGACTGAAGCTCTTGGTGCCTTCTGAGCAGAGGAATGTCTTCTGCAGTGTTCCTCAAATGCGCTGACACTGTCGTGAGGAAGGAACTTGCCCCCTTGTGTATCCAGGCAGCACGTGCTGGGGGGTTGCCCAAGCCAAGCTGGAAGTCTATGTTGCAACTGGGGTTACAGACTGGCTGTATAAACACGGCCCCAGTGCCTAAAGTGTGGTTTACAAAGGTGTAAATAAAAGGTGTAGGGGTTGCTCTTCAGCATGACAACGGAGAGAATATTCCCACTATTAAATTTTGGTTGCCGGAAAGGGACTAAAATACCCTTGTCACTGGATTTTTGAGTTTTCGTAGCCTCATGAAACTTCTGTGCCTATTGTAGAGTAAGGCCACATTACAGACCTTTGTCCTTGAAGATCTGAGGTCTCCCTGCTGCCCAAGTTGGGACTAAAAGGCTTAGTTAGCTATTAAACTACTTAAGAAGAGCTATAAAAGGCAAATCCTGGCAGCGTTGTGGGAAAGGAAGCTGCTGTTGTAACTAGAATGAGAAATGGGCCTATAATCCCTTCTGCTGCTCTCTGTAGCCAATCTAGAGTCATGTTGTGATTTCTTGTTGAAACAGAAGGCCCACCACGTGTGATTTATTTCCAGATCCACAGTAGAATTGTTTTAAATTCACACCTGCAGAGTCCTAGTGGTCCTGTTACAATGCTGCTGCTTTAATTTAAAAGGCACACAGCTGCACCTAAACCCTTCTTTTTAGGAAGGTAAATTCAGGGAACAGTGGCTTTATACTTGGAAAGGCTTTGGAGAAGGTCATGAGAGAGAAGGATAAAAGGTTTGGAAACCATGTTCTATGGTCAAAAAAAAAAATCAAAGAGCACAGCAGCTGAATTTAGTTGAGGAATTGGTGCAGGGTTTGATTTAAGGAAATCTCAAGTGCTGTGTTGTACAGAAGACCAGACAGATGATCGTAATTGTTCCTCCTGAAATTAAAAGCACTGACAGCCTTGGCTCAGTGAGGAATGGTAAAGGGACTCTCAGGTCTTTCCCTGGAGCTGACTTACTCAAGTAGTACCGAGCCTGGTGTTCTAATGGTGTACCAAAGAAGTCCAGCTGTGGGAGCTGTTAATTTTTATCTCGCTCATCTCAGGCGAAGATTTTTCTACCAATAACATCCCTAGGGATTTCCCAACCCAATTAAAGCTGAACTTTGACATCCTCAGCTCCTGAAGCTTAAGGAATCTCATATGCTTGGACTAGGTTTTGGATGATGATATCTTAGCACCGATGACCACAGGAATGCTGTGAGCAGTTGTGATAGGAAATACTTGGTCAAAGCACCCTCTGAGGGCAGTTCCACAGCCTTTGCTGAAGTGCATCTTCACTTTGGCAGCACAGCTTTTGTGAGGAGATCCAGCAAAACCTTTGGTGATTCCAAACTGATTTTCGAGAACAGTTTCTTCAGTACTTAACGCTTCCTACAGTAGTCTTAGTTACCATCCAAGTATTGTACAGCTCCTAGGATAGAGAGAGTGTACAATCTGCTGTTACTGGGAGATGCAGCAGCTTTCACTCCTGTGTCCTCTCTCCTTCCCCCCCAGACAGTTACTGCCCTTAGCCCCATGTACGGCAGCCGGTTCGGCTATGCGCTTTCTAACGGGACGGTCGGAGTTTACGACAAGACAGCTCGCTACTGGAGGATAAAGGTTGGTCCAGCGTTGGGATGTCATCACTGAAAGCTAGAAGGCTGCTGGGAGATCTGATACCTACCCTCAGGTCGTTTTGATGTTACCCTGACTCCTTAGGTGAATTTGAAATTTTCTGCTGAGTGTGGAACTTAACGGCATGTTCTTAAATTTACCTATTTTTATAAAGAAATGCAAAATTAATACTGTGTGGGTTCCTTCAGTGCTTTTGGGACTGTTGGTGATGGCTTAAACACCAACAGAACCATACAACAAGGGATGCTACAGCTTCACAGGGTTGTTTAAGCACCAGAGGAATTTGACTTGGCTGTTTGAAAATGCCTCTGGCTGTGTTGTTGAGTCAATAAATGGGTTTTCAGCAACTGAATTAATCTTGCATTGTCTGTGTTCAAAACTAATTTTTCACATCAAAAGCGACTTGCTGCTGCCTAAATGACATTGGCGAGATCCTTTTGTGACGCTCATGTTATTATTCTTATTATAACACAGATTAGAACAGCCTGTTTAATAGGAGTAAGAGATTCCTTAGGAGGTGGCAGGAAGAGGCTAATGGCTTTCCTCTGTGGTCTCATTTTATGACAACATTGAAGCCTTGATCTTATTTTTTCCCCCCTCCAGAAGTTGGCTTTTTACGCTTTTTTTTTTTGCGAGATCTAATAATCTTGCTTGGATGAAAACATATTTAAAGGAAAAATCCTGTCTTTTGAGAGCAGTGGACCAGATTTGTAGCGCAGGGACTGAGATTTCCGATGTGCGTGGCCTTAGAGATGGTGGTGCTCAAAGTTCCCATTAGGAGACATTTTTGTGTTGCTTTCTGTAATCTCTGTAGCCTCATACTCCAGTGTCCTGCATGTGCAGTTTAGAAAACATACCCAAGCTTAACTTATTCTTGATTTTCTGTCCCCAGTCTAAGAACCATGCGATGAGCATCCACGCCTTTGACCTGAACTCTGATGGTGTGTGCGAGTTGATCACTGGCTGGTCCAATGGGAAGGTGAGTTTGTTCAGGAGTAAGTGAGAAGCTGTCCACCTGGGAGCTGTGTTCAAACAAGGCTGTTAAATTAGCTGAAGGAGAACAGCTCAAAAAATTCTAAAGGCCGTTGAAAACTGAGCACTGAAGAACGACTGCAGTAAACCTGGTTTGGCTGGTGAATCCTGTGCCAAGTGCAAGATCAGAGGAAAGCTTCTTCCTCTGCTTAGCTCAGAGTCCATGGCTAAGGTGTGGCAAGTTGTTTCTAGCAGGGATCACATGCCACGTCATAGAGCTCTCCAGTGTCTCTTCTCAGCTTGGTTGTAAGGACGCGCTAATAACCCTCTGCGATGCTTCCTGAATGTTCTCAAACTTCAGGCTCTGTAGCAGGATTAATCAAGCATTATTTAATTTTATCTAAAGGCATATTCTATACTCTTAATATTCTACATATTCTTATATTGTATTCTCTTAAGCCTGTTGCTTCGTATTCCCCTTTGCCAGAAAAGACTGTTGGAGCTGCCAAATCTCACCTGGACACAGCTTGCCAGTTTTTTTTTTTTTTTTTTTCTGTAAAGCTGTGCTTTTTTTCTTCACGTCTCTCATTACTCTCATTAGCTTGGGGGAATTTAATTAACTTCATATCAAGCTGGCAGTCTAGAGCACAGATATGTTGTAATTTATGTTGGATTAGGTGTAGAACATTGCTAAAGAGAGAACCTCTCCTTGTCTTGCTACTTTTTCTGTTCTTTTCCACTGGCAGTCTCGACCTTGCTTGTTGGTCTGATACAGTCTCCAGGTCTTAGAATGAGCAGTGCTGGGTCCTGTGCCTTGGAAAAGATGCAGGATGGCACCAAGCCCCCCTTGCTATTCTTCTCCGTTGAAAGATAATTAAAGGTTGTGGTATTTATGTGTAAAAATAATTTGCCATGCATGTTTGCAGCTAAGAGGTGGTAAACACTTCATTAAGGTTATTTTTGGTTTAGTCCCATCACTGCTGTGTTGATGGGTGTAGAACCTTCCTGGTGCAGACTTGCAGTGCCCTTCTTTCCTTCCTGTAACTTAAGGAGGCCTCTCTGAAGAGAGATTCCTTCTAGCTGAGCCAGTCTGGGGGTCATTTTCTGATGGTGTGTGTTTTTCACAGGTGCTGTTCTGGTCAGCAGAGCTGCAAGTTCTCCTGTGGTTCTGCGAGGGGAGCTGGTGTTTGGTTACCAGCTCAAAGGATAGCATGACAGAGATTTTTTGAGTTAGCTTTTCTGCTTATGCTGTGCCTTGGAACTCTTTGTTGTTTCAGGTTGATGCACGCAGCGACCGAACTGGGGAGGTCATCTTTAAGGACAACTTTGGTTCCTCGATTGCAGGATTGGTGGAAGGGGATTACAGAATGGATGGGAGCACCCAGTTAATCTGCTGTTCAGTTGATGGGGAAGGTGAGAGCATTGTTCAGGATATTAATTTAGTACACAACAGTATCAGGCACATCACATCATCTCAGATTAGCTAAACGTTGCTTCAGTTCTGTAGGCAGTTTCTCGTGCCAAATTCCCTTTGCTTTACGTGAAGTTAAGGGAATTTTGAATTATGCTATCTGCAAACAGCATTTTGAGTGTTCCCTTCTCTGTGATAATCAACATGTTTCATTATGATCCAAGAAGCTAGCAAAATTCATTTGCCTAATGAGAGAAATCCCATCCTAATAATGCAAAGGTAGCTATAGTCAGTACAGACTGTGGTTCTTCAAGTGACATTATTATACGTGAACGTATAGGAAAACTTTATTCCTATCGGTGATAATACTTTGGTTGCTTTATGGATGGTGAAGGTGTTTAGTGAGCTAAACTTGTGTGTGTTTTGATTTCCTCTGAAGGTGAATAGTTGTTATGTCTGTAATTTTAGATATTAACAGTGCTTTGTTTCCTGGAAAATGCTGTTCTTAGGCTGCAGAACTGGTGGATTTATCCCACCGTACATTCAAGAAGTGGGACCTGGTCTTTGAGTGGAAACAAATATGATTGCAGATGATTTAACTAAGCTCAGCATGAGTTTACAGGGACGGCTTCAGGAAAGACATTGGCATGGTGATCCGACTGCTTGGCGTCGGTGGCCTGAGACAAGCAGGTCTGGCACAACCTATTTGGAACAAAAGCCTGTTCTCGTTAAATAGCACAGTGCTTTGCTGTCTGTCTTTAATCACAGGCTGTGGGGACTTGCTGTGCTTGGGATTCAGCCATTAAACCTTTTTCCCAAGCTTACAGGAGGAGAACCCTGAGCACAGTTCTGAAGATACCTTGCCCTAGCAGAGCTGTGTAGGTTAATGTCACTGAACGTGATCATCCTGTTCTGGTGGAACCATCATAAACAAACCTTGGCACCGTGAGGATCCCTTACTCAGTAGTAGTAAACCTAATGTTGGGCTTTAATGGACAGTTCATTCCCATAGTCCTTGCCACGAGAGTTCTTCTGGAGGCCAGCAGCCTTTCACATGAGGTGCTCTTCTGTCCTGCAGTGTATTTTCCGTCTTGCTCTCATTTTAAATGAATGGTTCACTCAGAAATAATAAATTGGGTCCTTTCATTGGGGGACAGTGTGTGTGCTGAATGCTTTCCAAGTTTCCTGCAACTTTTTAGGGGGTTTATACAGTCAGGCAGCACACTCTTCACAGGTATATAGTTTTGGTCTCTGGCCTTCATTGTCAGCTGCAATCAGAGCACATGGCCCTAGAGCAGAATGGAAAGTTTATAGCAAGTGTTTTTGTTTCATCATCTGTTCAGCTCTTGTCTCCACAGGCAGGTGGAGATATTTTCATAACTCTGTGCTCCATTGGGCTACAGGGAAACAGTATCCCTTGATTTGGGCAAAAGCTAGTGTGGGTAAATGGTGTTTACTGGCTGATTGACAGGGACTTACAGACATTGCCAGGCAGTAACAACTCCTCTGACCAGCTCTAGAACTCCAGGTACAAGTTTTATTCATTTTGCATAGCTGCAAACTTGCCTAAGGACCCAAAAGAGTGATTGCAGTGGGAATCCTCTTACAAAAGGACTGCCTTGTCTGGTCATGTGAAGACAGCTTAAAGACAGGCTGGAATTTGACCTTTTTTTCTGGATTTAGATGTGCAGTTCACTTGTCCTGATCACCAGGACGGTCAGAGCCTCTGTGGGTGTAGATAAGTGCTCAGGCTTTCAGCTAAGCGGTGCCTACCAAAGACCAGAACTAGTGTCTTCTGCTGAGGGAGTACAAGGGGGGGTCTTGTTAAAGACACCAAAGTTTTGGGGAGGCTTTGCTGAAGTTGGCTCTGTTTTTGTTCCCATACAGTCCGGGGCTACCTGCCAGGAAGTGAGGATGTGAAAGGAAACCTGATGGATACAAGCGCCGAGCAGGATCTGATCCGAGAACTTAGTCAGAAGAAACAAAATCTGCTGCTGGAGTTAAGAAATTATGAGGAAAATGCAAAGGTACTACTTATTGTGCAGGGCCAAAACACTCCTTCCTGTTGCTATAAATCCAGAGTAATCTGGGAAGCAGTCGTGGGGCAGTCCAGACAAGTCAGGGCTGTAACCTGTTAGGATGCAGTGAGATTCTCTCCTGGGGATTCCTGCTCCTGCCTCTGGCTTGCTCCTGGTGCAAGTTCAGAGTTTGTTTTTCATGTTTTAATAAGTAACATTTTCCTTGCTCCTTCAGCTTGCCAGATCAGCTGTGTGTGGAGCTGGATTCTGTTCAGTCCCCTGCTTTGGCTTATGACTGCAAATTGTAATTTTCAGTGTATAAACCAACTTGGGGATTGGAAGGGCTTGTGTGAGAGGATGAGGAAATTGATTGAAGGTTGGGAGAACTGCCAGGGTGTAGGAAGCTCACTTGTGGCTTGATGGTGAAGGTGCAGGGATAAAAGGCTTGGAAATATAGTCTGTGGAAAGAGCAAACTTGTGTTTGAGCAGTAAAAACCCACCACAGCAAAAGCATGGAACTATATAAGCTGTGTTTAAAACTGAATAATGTTGAGTGCTTTTCTGAATAAAGGTTTGGGTTCAGAGCTGAGCTCCATCAACAGTAAATTGCAGCACAAGGGTCCACAGCTCCATGCCTAATCCAGATGCTCTTCATAGCTGTGTGAAGGGTGTGGGAATGGCTGTAACTCTCCTGCAAGGAGAGAAATGATTTACATGTACAATTTCTAGGTGGCTTGAATGAAAATTAGAAGTTCTGATACTGAATTCTGATCAGAATTTTGATTCTGTTTTGTGACAGGCTGAGCTGAGCACTCAGCTGAAGGAAGCAGATGGGCAGCGAGGTGGGATTCCAGCCAACACCCAACTCCAGACAGCCCTCTCGGTTAACCTGGGCTCTGACAGCCAGTCTGCCCATGTGGAGCTGTGCATTTCCACCACAAACGGTGAGTGGTAACCTCCAACCATTGGCATTCATCTCATGTAAATCCATTTAAACGTTCAGTTATATTTAGCTGATGATTTGCCTGTCTCCCCTTTGTCTGTAATTTCCCCTTTGTGGTTGCTCTCCTTTCACAGCGTTTTGAATCGAGCTGTGTTCCTTTGATGAGTCTCGGGGGAGAGGAGTTTGATGGAATTTGTTTCTTGTTATGTGTTATTTTCCAAGGCAATTAACATTTAACTTGGACGAAATGAATCGTGGTGATCCTTGCAACACTCCTTGTGTTGACTAAACATCAACCTACAGCGGTGTTAGGGAGGGTGTTGTGGGAATGCAGCTGGACCCCAGCTGCCTTTATGCAAAACTGGAGCTACCCCGAGATAGAAAATTCACCGAGCACCAGGCGTGCCGAGGATGCTGGCAGGTCCACACGTGGCACTGCTGGTCATCTGGGATACGGTAACAACTCAGAGGAGGGGTGTAAAGTGTGCCCAGGGCAGTGGTGGAGTCCCCATCCCTGGAGGGGTTTCCAAGCTGTGGGGATGTGAGGCTGAGGGACATGGGTCAGTGGGGACCTGGCAGTGCTGGGGGAATGGTTGAACTCGATGATCTTCAAGGCCTCTTCCATCCCAAACGATTCTATGATTCTGAAAACGGTGGTTTGTTGCCAGAGGACAGCTGTTAATTTAGGAACTGCTTTTTCTGCCCGTTGCTAAGACACAATCATCCGTGCTGTGCTGATCTTTGCTGAGGGCATATTTGAAGGAGAGAGCCACGTGGTACACCCCAGTCTCCAGAACCTCTCAGGCTGTGTTCGTGTTCCTCTTACTCCACCCAAAGATGTCCCTGTGGATTTGCATATCAAAGCCTTTGTGGGTTACAGGAACAGGTGAGTTTTGTGTTGTGATCTCACCTGATCTGCAGATCCGACTGTGTGACCAGGAAGCAGCCGTGATGTGGCTTTACACTTGCCCCATGGGAAGGGCACCATTAGTTCCCTGGTGTCTCACTTCTGTGTTACTGGAAGGAGAGCTGGAAAACACTGTTGCACCCGTGTTGCTGAGCTCTTCTCCAGAAACTCTCAATGCTCTGGAGTCCCTGGGACCTGCTGTCTTCCAGCTCTGCCTTTGGGGGAACAGTGAGCACCTCTTGTCCAGAGGATGCCTTAGAGCGGGTCTCTAGAGGGAATAGAGAGAGGCAGAAACTGTGTCCAGGCTACCCAGAAAATGACACTTAACTTTCTCCTTGCTCACATCTGCTGGAGCTGGCTGTGCCCCAGGAAGCAGCATCCTTTCCCTCAACAGAGAAAATCCTTTCCTCTAATAATTTGAGAGCTAGCCAGCTGCTGCGGAAAGGACGTGTAGGGCGGAATTCCCGTCTTGTTCTCGCTATTTGCCCTTACTGCTTTTGATAAAACTTCACTGAACCTGTAAAGAAAATACCCAGTCACACTGTGAACTCATACACGTGTTAGCCTAGAGAATATATTTCACTGGAAGGATTGTGGAAAACAGAAGCAATAGGGAGGAGTTGTTCGGCCTCATGATGTGATAAGCCTGGAATTTCCAACTTCCAGTGTTTTATCCTGGGAAACTGTAAGCAGTTGATTATGTAGCTGGAAGCTACTGATGTCAGTAGCCAGCTAAAAAAGGATCAGAAACCATTGCAATAGGTGAAGCCCTGGTGTGTTAGTAACTGGTTTTCCTTTGGATTGACCCCAGCACACAGTTCCACGTATTTGAGTTGACAAGAGAGCTTCCCCGCTTCTCCATGTACGCCCTGAGCAGCCCGGACTCGGCCCCAGAGCCCCTGAGCTTTGTTCACTGCACAACAAACGAGAGGCCACAAAGGGTGAGGTTCTGCTCTCTGTCCTGTTCCCCAGCCCCCTGCACAGGTACTGCGCACGTGGAGGGTTTGCAGTTAGTTTGGGAGTTCCAAGAGTTCGTGTGTTACAACTGGACTTGAGTCATTCCCTGCTTTTGGGAACTCCTGCAGGAACCAGTGGCCTCAGATCACGAGGCATTTCACATACTACCTTGTTTGCTGATGGAATGCCCACAGCAGGAGCCCTGTAGTGAGTGTGGAATTCTGTAAATGAGCAGAGAATGGGAATAGGCAGCAGAATGCCCAGAAAATGTCTCAGTTTCACCACAGAGGAGCAGCAGTGCTGTGGCTTTGGGCCTAAAAGATCTGAGTTGTGGGATGGTGGTAGTTTCAGCTGGTCGTTTCTCTCATAACTGCAAGGCTCTGCCATATTTACATGACCTTCACTGCATTAAATGGCCAAGGCAAAAACCAAGGTAAAACAAAACTTTCCTTCCTGCAGTAGAATCAAGCTTCCCAGCTTTCTCTAGTCTTCAAGCCTGGGCTGATGTTTTGACCTTGGGTTGTGGTCTCTGCTTGTTGGATTTGATTTTCTTAGGATTATTTAGCTTTGAAGCAGGGATTCAACTGCCTCCATTCTGTCAAGTTCATGATGTGGGTCTAGGGGATGAAATTCAGTAAATGAAATTTCCGAGGTGCCCTGAACATCACGTGCAGGGATGTTGTGTGGTTCTCCAGGTTCTCCATGCAGGTGATGGCTCATGTTCTTTATCGGGTTTTTGTCAGATTGTGATGTGGCTGAATCAGAGCTTCTTGCTACCAGAAGATGCAGAGTTTCAGAGTGCTCCATTCCAGGTTTGCTTCACTTCTCTTCGTAATGCGGGTCACCTCAGCATCAAAATCAAGCCCGGTGGAGAGGTGAGTACCTCTGTGGGCAAGGGTAACACCCACTTAATTATACTCCAGTGAAACAGGAGGCTGGTGCTGGTACAAGGCAGCAAAAATGAAGGATGACTGAACAGGCAGAGGAAGTACTCATGTTCCAGGGATGTTTTTGGAAACCTTTGGTGTTCTGTTCTGTTAGTGGGTAAAATTCCAGGAAGGAAATTAAGCCCACAGATCTGTAGGAAGGGATTTGTTCCCACATGGAATGGTTTCAGGGAGCTGTAACTGGAGGCACAAAGGCTGCCTGTAGCTCTTGCACTGGTTCTGGATGCACAGATGCCTCTTTGCTTCAGGCCTGAATAAAAGCCCCTTGGAAATCAGTCTCCGTATCTACTGAAAGCCACAGAACTTGATCATGTAGCAGTTTTACCTCTTGATAGAAGGAACTGCTTTGGGCTTGGGTAACAGTTAAAGAGGCAGTTCTGGGAGGTGTTTTGTCGTGGAGCTGAGCTGAAGCACTTTCTTCCCTTCCTGACAGATCTCTATCAACACGGATGATATTGACTTAGCTGGTGACATTATCCAGTCCATGGCCTCCTTTCTGGCCATTGAAGATTTGCAGGTGGAAGCAGATTTCCCTGCCTACTTCGAGGAGCTGCGGAAGGTGTTGGTCAAGGTGAGGAGGCCTTGGGTGTTTCTAAATTGGTGGCTAAGCAGTGACTGGGGACATTTGTATGAGAGGATCTCTAAATGGCTTTATTGTCTTCGTGGAAGATCTTCACCCAGGATGACGTGCTGTATATTCTGCAGAAAGCACAGTGGGATAGTCTGTTTTCTGTTTATTCTGTGTTCTGTAGAACAAGCCCTTGGTCTCCAGCAGTAGATTGTTTAGACTCATGTAAATATGTTGTCTGGGAGACTGAGCTGTGGATTTGGGGCTGAGTGTAAGGTGTGTGTCTCAGCCTGATCACCCCATTCGGAAGCCAGGGCGTAAGGGGAAGGGGAACAATCAAGGGAGAACAGTCCCAGGGATGCCGATAGGTTAAGTTGGGATGGTCCTTCCTATGACAAGCTTTGTCTTGACCAGTTCCTGCACGCCTGGGGTGCTGGGCGGCCCTTTCTCATGCCTGTTTGCCTCGAACAGGTGGATGAACACCATGCAGTGGATCAGAGGCTCACTGCTGACATGGCTGAGCACTCCAACCTCATCCGCAGCATGCTGGTCCAGGCAGAAGACGCTCGGCTCCTGGGAGACATGTGAGCAATTACTGCTTAGCTTGTGTGATTTGGGTGTAGAACTGCTGGTCCTGGCTTTTCAGTCAGAAAAGAGCCTGGAAAAAAAAAAAAACAAACACAAACATTTGTGTGATACAGGGGTTGCCTAGTTGCAGCTCTTGGTGTAGAATTGGTACCTTTGCTGGTCCCATCATGAGCTCTCCTTGAGTCTTGTCTTGTTTAAGTGGAAAACCAGTCCGGGGAAGGCAGAAGGGTGAGGGTAGTGGCTTAGTGTAGAGCTGGTGGGTTGAATCCACCTTGGGATGGTGAGAGACATTGGAAAAGATATATTAAGGTAAAGAGGCAGTAAAAGCTGCCTGTGGTATGTGACCTTCTGAAAACACCAAAAAAAGCATTTTAGGTGTTGGTCCTTTCACTCTGACTTCCTGTGCTTTGCTGATGTCCTGTCCCCACTGTCCAGAGCAGCAGTTAAGAGGTCCAAGCTAACACTGAGCATTGGTACTTTCACTGGGGAAAGTGGCATCTCCTTTTTGGGTTACCAGATGAAATAATTGCAAAACCAGACCATTTTTTTTTTTTCTCAGTACAATAAAGAGTATAACCAACAAGTCTGTCCTCTGGTAGCTGGCAGACGTGTGGGTGACTGTGGTGCCATCACAACCACATCCCACTACACCTTCATGATTCTGTCATGCCCAGAGATGCACATAACAGGCCTGGTTGTTCCCCCAGGAAGAACATGAAGACACGGTACGTCGAGCTGTATGATCTCAACCGAGATTTAATAAATCAGTACAAAATCCGTTGCAACAACCACACAGAGCTGCTGAATAATCTGAAAGCTGTGAATCAGGCAATCCAGAGGGCTGGGCGGTTACGCGGTGAGTACGTGGCTTTTCAAACTAAATTAGTAGAGGTAATCTGTAATTTTTCAGCCATAGCTAACTGCCTGTGACAGCTCTGAGTGTCCAGTCAAATTCAAAGTAGTTTCCAGCTTTCTGGATGGTACAGAAATTGCTAGTTTTGTTGAACACGGTCTTGAAAACATTTTAAAAGTAGTGTCTCAGTTATTAATTTATAATTCTGCTTTAAAAAGAACAATATCAACCTAAGCAGGACTGTATCTGTATTATTAGTTCTCTAGGTTGTTGGGGAAGGAACTTTTTTTTTTTTTTAAAAATGGCATTCCCCTTTTAACAAGTCCTTTAAGCTCTACTATAATAGAGCTAGAGGATCATTTAGATTGGAAGAGACCTTTAAGATCACTGAGTCCAACCATTGCCCCAGCACTGCCATGTCCCCACTGACCCATGTCCCTCAGCACCACATCTCCATGGCTTGGAAACCCCTCCAGGGATGGGGACTCCATCACTGCCCTGGGCAGCCTGGCACAGCCCTGGACAACCCTTGGAGGGAAGAAATTTTTCATAATAACCCATCTAAACCTCCTGTGGTGTAAGACCCCAGTTCCCTCAGCCACTCCTCACGAGACTTTTTCCCCAGACCCTTCACCAGCTTTGTTGCCTGTCTTTGGACACACTCCAGAACCTCAGTGCCCTCCTTGAAATGAGGGGAACTACAGAACTACAGACAGTTCTTCTTTAAGGAAAGGATTTTATTCGTGTATCAGAAAAAAGGTGATGTTTCACCATGTGTTTAAACAATATTTGAAAGAAACCTTCATTTTGAGACTGGATCAAATAAATATTTTTATCAGTTTCTTATTCTGTAAACGTGTTTTTTCTTCTCTCTCCTATTTTTTTCCTCTTTACAGTCGGCAAACCTAAAACACAAGTGATCAGTGCTTGTCGGGATGCCATTAGAAGCAACAACTTCAACACACTGTTCAGGATAATGCGTGTGGGAACAGCCTCGTCCTAAAATCAGCCAGGAGAGCAGCAGTTGCCCAGGGGCAGATGACATAGCAGTGACAAGGAGCACTTAAATCAGGCCCTCTGCTGCACTGGAGGGGGAGGCAGTGGCAAAGGTAGCGTTTGAGTTAAGCCGTTGGGTGAGAAATGCTGCTACACAAGCCAAAGCTTTGTGAAGAAAGCAGCAGAGTTGAGGTGCAGATGGATTTGTGCAAGACAGAGGTATAAGCTTGGGACGGTTATTTTTCTTACAGTAACTTATTTATGTATTTTAATATATTTTGTAGTGAAGACATTGACCTTTTCCATTAAAACATAGACTGGTTTGACTGCCTGTGTTCTGATTTAGTTGGGGAGATGTGTATGGTTAAGTTTATTTCCTGGAAAAACAACCCAACCAAACCTACTTTTCTGGTTTTGCTGCCTGGTCTCTGTGTTGGAGAATCCTGGGTTTCTGTACTGCTTTCTAAGTACCCTGCAGCTCTGTGCAGTAGAAGTATCAAGGGAACAATAACATCTCCTTGCTGGCTTTTAAGCCAGAAGATCTTTGAAAGCCTTCCTGTTCCTGGATCTGGAAGTGGTCTCCTTCACATCCGATGCTCTCCCTGCACGTGGATTGCAGGAAGTTTTGCTTCCAGCTGTTGGTTCTGTGCTGCTGTTGGAAAAAAACCCTGCAGATTCTGGGTGTTTCAGGAACAACACATACTACACACCCAGGCTCAGTGCTTGTGAGGAGCTGCTGGGGGAGCTTGATGGGATCAAAAGAGGAAAGTATTGAAAAAGGTCTTTGCTCCTGGCTCAAACCTGTTTAGTAATTGTGGGATCTCTTAGAATTGGATTAAAATACTACAGTAAAGCTCTCTCTTAGATCTAAAGACATTTTTGAACCTTTGCCAAAGCAAATTTCTTCTAGAAGCTAAAAATACCCTGCCCAGGATGGTGGTTTGGTCCCAGTGTTTGTCACTGGTGGAGTCACCAACCTGGGAGGCATTAAAAAAACATGTTGGACGTGGTAGTTCAGGACATGGTTTAGTGATCGTGGGAGTGTTGGGTTGATGGTGGGACTTGGGATCTTGGAGGTGTTTTCCAACCTTGATTGTTCTGTCATCTACCATGGCACGGGCCAGTGTTGTCAGCATGGGCAGGGAGGAACCTGTCCACCTTGTGAAGCCCAGCCCTGGGTAGCTTCTCGGGGCTCTCAGGAGCACTCACACCCTGTAACTGCTCCATCTCTTACCAAGTTAAAGCCAGAAGCCCTCTGTTCGTAGCAGAGCGACCGGCGAGCACACGCCCAGTGATTCTTGCAGGTTCTCTGTCCCTTTCGGAGTGGAGCAGCGTGCTGGCAAAAGCACAGAGCTCTGTTGCTTCAGATCTGCAGCCGGGGCTCATTTGAATCCTTTTAAGAACCTGGTTGTTAGTCAAATCCAACTCCCTGGAAGAAGGGTGGTGAGCCACCCATGCTGTTCTAAGCAAGTCAGCTTTAGGCTTGATTATGGAACAGTCTCCTGGCAGAAGTGCTGGGCTTTCTGCCACCTGCTGTACCTGTTCCCACTGTTTCAACCTCTTGTTCTCTCTGTTCAGACTCCTAACGCTTGCTCACTTACTGTTACGTCGTCCTTTCAGTGGCTCTGCTTGGAAAGCAGCCTGATTCCGAGGGCTGCACACCAGGCACTCCCAGTCCCAGCTCTGGTTTGCTCTTGGCAGTGAGCTGTGTCCTTCAGTCCCAGTCCAGGCCTCTGATAAGGCTCATTTCCCCTGGCTATGTTTCTGACAACAAATTTGTCAATCATTTTCCCGTAAAAACAACTTTTATCTTTGCCAAATGTAAAATCCACATCCTGTAAGCTGAAGTGATACCAGGTTTGCAGTTGCTGTGGAATTAAATCAAGCCCCTTGGCTGGTGTGCAGCAGCCGGATGATGAAAAGCTGAACCTGCACTAGCAAACTGGTGACAGACAGCCCCCAGCAGCACAATTCCCACCAGGAATGATCCTGGGTATCCCATTCAGGTATGGGGAGCTGGGGGAACTGGTCCCAGCAGGTTAAGCTGTTGGTCAAGTACAAAATGACCTCTGAAACCATGCCAGTAGAGTGGTTTGTTGCTAAAATTTCATGGGCAAGGCTGCTTAGATGGCACAACACCTTGGTATGTGTGCTGGGGCTTGGGTCTAGACTTCAATACCTGCCTGGAACTTTGGTTTGGGCTCGAGTCTTCCCTGTGCTGCCTGGGAAACACCCTGCAGAAGCACCAGGCTGGACCTCTTCAGGGCCCCCTGAAGAGGGATCTATATAACAGTGAGGTTTTCCAAAATCCCAGTTTGAGTTCCAGTTTGGAGTTTAAAAAAAACCAACAAACAAACAAAGCAGTTGGAGCTGACACTTGACAACAGGTTGTCTGATTTTAGCCCCTGTTTCTCCAAGTCCTGTGGGTTGCTGCTCATCTTAATTAATCCTAATTCACTGACTACCTGATGTCAGAACTTTGCTGCCTGTTCATGACTGCCAAAACCAGTTCTTCAGTCTGGGCTATGGCCACACTCTTTTATCTTGCTCCATGTTGAATTGTTCCCCTTTCCAGCTACTTGGCAAACTGATAGCCACCAAACCCTGAAAAATGGGTTGTGAAGTTGTGTAACTCAGTGCTTCAGTCGCCAAGAGCTGCTGGTACCTGTGTCTAGCACCAGGCTGCAGAGGTGGTGGGAGATGGCTGCCCTCACACAGCTGGGCTGGGTGACATCTTGCCTGGCCTGAAGTTTCTGTTCTCTGTTGCTCACACTCCACAACTCCACTTGCTGTTCTCAGTCCTCTTTTTCTCTCGTCCTGCTTACTCTGGGTATGTATAGATTCCATGTTCCCTTCCCTAAGGATCAGAGCACTGGGCAAGCAGCTACACCTACTTGTCAACACAGCTTTGTACCCAGCAAGAGGGCTCCCATTAGCAGCGGGGATCTCAGTGAATCCCCCTCCTCTCCCCCCAGCAGCTCACATCTGAATTTTTGGTGAGTGGAACTTTTCCCCTGCACCCTTAGTGCCAGCCATTGGCTTTTGGGGCAGAACGGGAAGGGCGGGAGAGCAGCGACGTGTTGGGTTTTAAATCTTTGAATGCTAACTGCAAATTTGGCTCCTGAAATGACTTCACCCCGGTCCCCAGAGGCTGAAGGGTGGTTCTGGGCATGAGCAGGCAGATGGGGGCTGGCTCAGGCAGAGGCTGCTGTGCCCTCTAGTGTGGTATTTACTACTGAAGAGCAGCAAGCTGCAGAGCCCAGCTCCTGCCCAGTCTTCTGGAGGGGTGCTCCAAGATCTACCAAACACCCTCTTAGGCTCATAATGCAGTAGAAGAAGTAACTTCATTTCATTAATTTACTCCCAACTTTGCCTGGCTTACTGTGCTGTGAATAGCTGTGGTATCTGGCACCTTTGTTCCAAACTACCCAAATAATTTTGTCTTTTTTTTTTTTCCTCCCAAAAGCTCCACTGCTTGTCTTTCTTCTGGAGCAGCTTGGAGTAAGAACCATCTTCTCCCCAGGAATTGCTGCTGCCCTGCCAGGCAGCCGAGTGCCTCATAAACCAATGATTCACAGAGAGGGTCCTTCAGGATTTGGTCTCAGCTTCATCCCCTTATCTTTGCAAGTAGCATAGAACAGTACCAAAGGAAGACGAAACCTGAGCAGGAAGGTCTTGGCAGCACACAGCGAGGCCAGCTCGGGGAGCTGGGTCAGAACGTGGACAAGATGGTGTAGATGTCACCACAGTAGCTCGGTGCAGCCACCGAGGGAAGGGCTGGAACTGAGCAACTGCTCGTGGTGCTGGACTGAGCTGCCCCTGGAACTGCACAGCCCCAGACATCCCTCCGAGGCGGCTCTGTTGTCCCTGGCTCCAGCCCCAGCAGGGCCTGGGGCACCTTTCATGTTGGGAGTGATGGCAGCAGCTTCATGCTTCGGTTGTCCCTTGGTCGAAGCCTGTGCTGGGATTGCAGCTGAAGGTTGTTGCTCCTTTACCTTCCTGAAGGACATCCTGCTCTGCGAGGGGTACAGAGGACTCCTGGCCCAACATGGCTTGGTCACGCCCCAGGCTGACTGCTCCTCTGCTGTGCTCTCACACCTCTGCACTGGACTTCACCAGCAGGCCCAGAAGAGGAGCAGCAGCAGCAGCCTCTAGTCCAAAGCCACCTTCTCCCAAGCCAGGAGAGGCAGGAGGAGTAGCACCAGTGTTCTCCCAGCTCACCGCAAGCCCAGGGCCTGCGCTGTCTGCCTTGGGGGACACGAACGCACACCTGTGTCTCTTCAGTGCCACAACCCAAGCACCAAGACCACCCTGTTTCTTGTACTGTTCTCCACAGGACCTGTACATCTGCTACCTGGGAGGATCTCCAGTGACAGAAGTGAGGGAGGAACCCAGCAGATCATAGAATCATGAAGGCTGGAGAAGACCTGTAAGATCATCAAGTCCAACCATCGACCCAACACTACCGTGACCACTAACCCATGTCCCAAAGTGCTGTGTCTACATGTTTTTTGAACCCCTCCAGGGATGGTAACTCTACCACCTCCCTGGGCAGCCTGGACCAATGCCTCACCACTCTGCCAGGGAAGAAATTCTTCCTAAGATCCAATAGAAACCTCCCTTGGTGTAAATTAAGCCCCTTTCCCCTCATCCTATTGCTGGTTATTCAGGAGAAGAGACCAACCTCCAACTCACTCCAACGTCCTTTCAGGGAGTTGAGAGCAATAAGGTTTCCCATCAGCCTCCTCTTTTCCAGGCTCAACGACCCCAGGTCCCTCAGCCGCTCCTCACAAGCCATGTTCCCCAGAGCCCTCACCAGCTTCGTTGCCCTTCTCTGGACCCGCTCCAGCACCCAGACAAAACCAACATGACATGAGGCCACGCTGTTGGTGACCCTCCTACTGCCTGTGGACAACCAGGAGGCGAGTCACCACCTCCCTGCTGCCAGCCCACCCCAGGTGGAATACACAGGAGCTGGTCTCGTCTTAGCTTGGACATTTCTAGGAGAAAGGTCTGCATCGGGGTCTGACTGCCAAGTCCCAAGAACCTCCTGATTCCCATGGCAGCTCCTTCATTTCTACAACAAATGCAGCAAAAGCCCTAGAAAACATCTTGTGTGTGTTGTAACACAACTTGCCCAGCTAGCGTCTGGAGCATTTAACAGACTCCTTCCTCTCCTTTTTTAAATTTTATTCCTTTTAATAAAACCGCATCATCAGCTCGGGGTGATGCACAGTTGCAGTTTTCACCCTGACAGGTTCGAGACGCATCCCGCTGTGCTCCTGCCAGCAGAGAAGAGCTGGGGAGGTGGCAGAGCTGTCAGGTGATACACTAAATTCCCTCAGCACTAAAAGCAGAGGAGAGCTGAACGTGTTGTGGCGTTCTCAGGAGCACGCTGGACTTCTGCTGGTATAGGTAAGAAGGTCACCTGCCCACCCTGCAGTAGGGCACAGTGTGACCAAGTCCCCAGGAGCAACGTTTGGCCTCAGCCTGGGTAGAAACCCACCACCCACCGCTGCTGTGGTCATTCTGCACCATCACTCATAATAGACAAAGGAAAAATCCCAAAATCCTCTCCTGTTTGGGTGCTTTTTCAGGCGTGCCAAGCTGCGATGGTTGATGTATTTCACAAACTTCATCGTTTCTTTGTCTCTATAAACCAAGGCCAAGCAGTTGGCCTCTGGATTCACTGTCAGCAGCTGGAAGATACAAAAGTAAGGCAGGAAATTAGGTTCATAAAAATGACTTTGGGATCATTCTGAGGAAGAAACGAAGAAAAGCTGGTCAGAACAAAGAGCTGGTGCCAGGAAATGAACCGTGGTGCCATTTTCCTTTTAATGCCCCTCAACATGAAGCACAGTGGTGGCACCAGGGCTCAGAACTGGGACCAGTTCTCTTCAATATTTTATAAATGATCCGGACTAGGGGATCAAGGGCACCCTCAGTTTGCACAGGACACCAAGCTTTGGGTGAGTATTGGTCTGCTGGAGGGTAGGAGGCTCTATAGAGGGATCTGGCCAGGCTGGATCCATGGCATGAGGATCAATCAGGCCAAGGCTGGATCCTGCCCTTGTGGTACAACGCCCCCCTGCAATGCTCCAGGCTGGGGCAGATTGGCTGGAAAGTGCCCAGAGGAAAAGGACCTGGGGGGGTTGGTCAGCACCAGTGTGGCCAGCAGGACCAGGGCAGGGATCATCTCCCTGGACTGGGCACTGGGGAGGCTGCACCTCAAATCCTGGGCTCCGTTTTGGGCCCGTCTCTCCAAGAAGGACCTTGAGGGGCTGGAGCGTGGCCAAAGAAGGGTAATTAAACCTCTCTGCCCTCAACAATTTAATTGCAGCTAGCAGCTGAGGTCCTTACCTCTTCATCTTCACCTTTGGCGATGTAGGAAGTAAAGCCACCATATTCTGGATCCCAGTCTTAAAACAGAAAAGAAAGATTCTTAGAAAGTTCCGTGCTGTCCAAGGGGGATCTTCCTGGTGATGCCACTTTTCCAGCCCCCTCCCCACAGTCACTGGATACGGGATGATCCCCTGTTTACTTCCCGCTGCTCAATTTTTCCTTTAAATCGGAAACAACTTGAAGGTAATGTTCCAAGTTTGCCTTTTCCCACAGATTTACAACCCGAGCCCAGGCGCCACCTCCTGGCTCCAGCGGGAGAGGTCAGCGCTGATCCCAGACTCCTGATCCCAAACTCCCCATCCCAACTCTTTTAGCAAGGACTCCCAGAAGCACGGATTGGAATGACGTCTGCAGAGCCCCTCTCTGCAGGGAAAAACTAGGGATGTTTTGGCTTCTGAGAATTCCAGGTCTTTCCCTCATGCAAACCTGACCCCCCTGCTCCACCCACTGACCTTCAGAGCCGCAGAAGAAGAGCAGGTCGAGAGCAAATTCAGTGGCTTGCGTGTCGTGGACTAGAGTGTAGTGCCCGTGGGTCCAGCGCCGCAGCTCCCCCGCACACATGGGGGTCCCTGAGCCTAGGAGAGGGGACAAACACCAGGGAAAACATGGAGGTGCCACCTGCTGAGCTCAGGGCATGAAGGGGCCCGGCCCCAGGGGCTCCGGAGCCATCCTTGTCCACCCCAGGGCAGGGAGGACGAAGTAAACCCCCAGATCTCACGGGAGCTTCTTTTCTAGAGATGCCTCCAAGTTATGGCCTTTGGATGACATGGATGAGTGGGGTCCTGGTTGGCTCTTTGAAAGGGGCCAAGTTGTGATGGGCTTTGGTTTAACCACTTCTTTCTTCCCTGGTTTGGTTTGGTTTGGTTTCCCCCTTTTGCCCCCCCCCCCGGATTTACAGCAGCACTCCAAACTTCCATGAGCCAGCAGCCTTGCTGTTCTGCAAGTGCTGAAACCACCAGATGCTTCAGGACACTGCTCTGAACTCACTCCACGTGCCATCCCGTGAGGTATATAAAAATCTGGGGAAGCTTTTATTTTTCTCATGGCCCTAGCTCAGCTTTTGATCTGTGCAGCCCCAAACTACACTCTCCTCCCGTGGGAGTTTTCACGTGACAGATTGAAGAGGCAAATCAGGAAACCAAAGCTTCTGTACCAGGTCAGCATTCCAGTGGGGTTTCCACTAAAACCTGGGTTTTGATTACCTTTTATTCCAGCATCCCTTAACTTCACCAAATGCAAGACAAGCTCATTTTCAAAAATTACACTGTTTTAAATAAATCCATGAGTCCAAAATTAATCTCACTGCCTACAACTATGTGGTTATTTAGGCTGGCAGTTGTTTTCTAAAGGTTACATCCTAGTTTTAGGAACTGCTGTTCTAATTCCAATTATCTTTTTATCTGCTCTGTTCGGTTTCTTCCCTTTGGTTTGGTCTCCTACCAGAATCTACTTTAGATGAAGCAGTTTAATTATTGCCAAAAGATTATTGGGCAGTTAATTAACACCCCCCTTCTGGCCTTAGCAAAGTCCCAACCTTAAATCTGCTTGAAACAGTGTCTTCAAGTTAGTCATGATTTTATCCCAAATTCTTTTGTGATGATTGCTTATTTTGGATACCTGGATGGACACACTTCAGGTCCCATGTTTGTGCTGGCTGCTGTACAAGGGGAAATCCTAGTTCTGTGAAAATCACCAGGAATTCTGCTGCTGAGATCCTCAGCATCAGGATCCTGCTCGGGTCCTTCTGTGGTGCTGGTGCTGGACTCACCATTCTGTGTCTCGCTGCCTCGTGACCCAGGGGTGCTGCCATCAGGCTGCTCTGGCTGCTGGGTGATGCTGTCAGCGTGCTCTTCAGTCTCCTCCTGCTCAGGTTTGGGGCTGCTGGGCCCACTGGTGTCTGCTGCTCTTTCTTCCCCAGCATCTTCATCCTCATGAGGAGCCAGGAAGTGCAGCTTTAGGCCAGTGAAGTTGGAAAGCAGTAAAAATAAGGCCTCGGAGCGCAGGAGCTGCAGGAATTTCTTCAGGGTGTCAGGCAGGGTGTCTTCCTCTGCCACCTCATAGTGTCTGAAAGACAGCAGAGGTGTCAGCAGTGGAGAACCAACTAAGACCCCGTCCGTGGGGCAGCTCCTGCTTGGCCTGATCAGTGGCTGCAGGACACTGTCATTCCCCACCTTTTATTGGCAGGCCCCCGGCTCGTCCACTGGATGTCTTTGTTCTCCAGAGCTTCACACAGAAGTTGGTATTCCTCTTTCTAGGAAAGAAAGGCAGTGTAGAAACTTTAGGGGTGCCCACTAAACCAGGGCTAATTCAGCCTTGAGAAGCAAAGCCTTTAAAGTGAGACAAAAAGTCACTTGTTTCACATGCAGTTTGAGTTCCCCAAGTGCTGCGAGCACTTGAGGGACAGGGAAGGACTCCACCAGGCTAGAAAGCAGCAAGGATGACACGTGTTTCCATCCTTCTGCTTGGTTGCCTGTAGGAAACGAGAATGTTGAGGCAAGGTTTGTGATTTTTTCAGTGTACAGGCAGGCAGAGGGGCTCCACCCACAGAATCACAAGAGGTTGGAAGGGACCTCTGGAGGTCACCTGGCCCATTCCTCTCCAGGGAGTGAAACTGGAAGCTGTGTTTTAGTTGGCAGCTAAACAAGCGAGGCCCTTCCCAGCCTGCGTGACACGTGGTACCCACCAGCCCCGACCTGTTCTGGCAGCCCACCTCACTGAACCACTGGGCTCACCTTAAGAAAATCTTTCAAGAGAATTTCTGATCGCTCCTCAAATTCCTCCTGGATTTGAGCTTGCGTGTCCATGTCCAAATAAAGCAGATTGATCCACTCGTACAAGATTTCATGCTGGAAGGAAAACGGGGTTTAAACGCCGAAGGAGCAGAAGGGCTCTCCAGTCCACCCTTAGCCAGCTGGCCACAGGGCTGGACTTCTCCTCATGCACTCTCCATGAATTCCTTCTAGGTTTGAGTTGCACCACAAGCGTTTGCTGTGTTCTCTGCACAATTGCAAAGACACAAACCAGCTACAAATTTCTGGGCCAAAAAGAGCGAAGGGGGTCGGCGAAAGCCGCAAGCAGCCCCCAG